TTCAAGGTATAATGATAATATTTACTTTGAACTTAAGACATAGATGCTCAATGATGAAAAGAAATTATTTATAAATCATTACTCAAGTTTTTCAAAGTTAAAATTCATTTTTCACTTGAGCGCAATCGATTTGCATATTAGTGCAATCGATTGCATGCTTCATTTTTTCAGATCTTTTGCTACTGTTTCTCAGTGCAATCGATTTGCATATTTGTGCAATCGATTGCATGCTTAAAATTTTCAAAATGTTTGCTTATGTTTCTCAGTACAATCGATTTACATTGCTTGTGTAATCGATTACACTCAATATTTTTTTGCTACTGACTTCACATGCAATTGATTTACATTCTTGTGCAATCAATTGCACACTTAAAACTTTTGAAAATGTAGTTGTTGAAACCCCGTGCAATCAATTTACACAAAGGGTGCAATCGATTGCATGCTGCACGATTTTGAAAAACAGCAGCTTTGCACATGCCTGTTCATAATACCTTTTCATTGAAACCTTTCACTCAATCTTGGCAATTGTTCATGATTCATTTACAGAACTTTATGATGTTTCAAAAAGGTGCTATGAACATATAAATATTAATTTTCAAAAATCATTTTCAACACCTCTTCCAAATATATTTTCTGAATTTTCAAAATACAAACTCAAGCTTTTCTTCACTTTCATACATAAGTTTTCTGCACACTTTCATATATTGTTAACCAGAAAACTTTGAGCATTTATTTATCTTGATTCATTGTACAATATTATCATTGGAAGAGAAGACCATTCATTGTTAAATCACTCTAAGTGATCAATACTACTCAACTCACTCAAAATCAAATATTGATAGATACTTACTTATTTTTCCGGGATTGTTGGAAATAAGTTTAAGTGGTTTTATAAATCTTGTTTTTCCAGGATTGTTGGATACAAGTGTAGTCACTTTGAGAGGATTGTTCTCATTATTGATATAGTGAAAATCCAAGAGGATTGTTCTTGGTGGTTTTATTGGTTAGAGTCTTGTATAGAAGGACTAGAGTGTCTTGTCTAGAGATCTAACAATAAGGAAATCTCTTTCATGTTGAAAGGGGACTGGAGTACTCTCGGACTGTGAGGGAAACCAGGATACATCTTTGTGTTCTTTACTTTTCCGCATTTACCGCTTTCATCACTAGTCATAAACCAGAAAAGAAAGAAACACATTTGAAAACTCATGCACTAAACCAGAAAAATAATATCCATCATCACTAAAACGGTAAAACTTTTAAAGTACCTAATTCACCCCCCTCTTAGGCGCACTTCGTACTTACAACTCAAAGTACTAGTGTTTGAGAAACGAGTTTTGAGAATGTACGTATGATGCATCAATTTTATGTTTATTGCCATTCATTTTCAATTGAAGTTGTATACATTTCTTTCAAGTTTAAATCAAAAATCTTTTACATACAGTCTTTTCTTTAAAGCATTACATTACTATCCTCGAAGTAATAATCAAAATCAGTATTGTTTAAAAGATTATGAATGTTGTCGAAAGTATTCTTTGTTTTCAAGAATAAAAGTTTGAATAGGAACGCATGTCCTTAGGATCAATCTAGTTGGTCCTGCAAGTTGTAATGCCCGTAATTTAATTAATTATTTAATTAAATTATTTTTAGATTATTTGTGAAGAAGTGTTATTAAATTGGATTTATTTTATTAAGTGGAGAAATAATAATATTAGAGGTATAATATTACTATTTGGTGAAATAATGTTAGAAGTTAATATTATTTCATGTGGGCCTATATGGTGTGAGTGGAAGTAATAAGGGGGTGTAAGTTTGGAGCCCAATAAGGAATAATATAATAATATTAGGTTATTTTATTATTTGTGAGAAGAATAGAAGGAGGAGGCAGTAAGAAGAGAAAATAAGAATTTGAGGAGAACGTGAAGTTGCTGGAAAAAGTGGAAAACGGCAAGAACAAAGATTCAACCCGGAAAATTGTAGAGTGACCTTCAATCCAAGATAAGGGTGGGGTTCTGCCTTTATAATTGGGTTCATGATGTTTGATATATGGGGTTAGATGTAATTGTTGTTTGTTCTTGAATTAGATGTGTTATGAATGATGTATGATGAATATTGATGAATTCTGGATGATTAATGATGTTATTATGTTGTCTAATCGATGGAGTAATAGAGTATAATGATTAGGTGATGAATTATCATGATCATAATAAGGTTTTTAGGGCTATAGTATAATTCCCGTAGTGAAATTACAGAAGAAACGCAGAAAATTATGCAGACTGTCGAAGGATGTGTCGACCCCAAGCTGGATGTGTCGATACATGAAGGATGTTCGACTCAGGATGAGTCGATGCATGGAGGGTTTGCATCGATACATGGGTGATGTTCGACTCAGGATGAGTCGATCCAAGAAGAGCTTGCGTCGATGCATGATGAGTACAAGACTCAGGATGAGTCGACACGAAAAGAGGATGTGTCGATACATGAGTGTGTGAGACTCAGGATGAGTCGACCGGTGAAGTGCATGTGTCGATACATGCTGTAATTTGAAGCAGGAAGAGTCGATCCATGAGGAGGATGTGTTGACTCATGTTGTGCAGGAGAAGCAGTTTGCGTCGATCCAAAGAGTTTTGTGTTGATACATAATGTCGGATTTCTTTTGACAAATTCAGTTTTAAAGTGATGTAACTTGAGTTTTAGGATGCTGTTTGATATGCCGTTCTAAGCGTTGATTAGCTAACGCGATGAACTTTATTCTAAATAATTTAAATGATGATGAAGAGGTGTAATCCTAGTAACCAATCTAAGATTTAGAATTAATTCCCGTAGATGACCGTTGTGCTGATTTTTGGATAGATTGATGAATATGAGATGTTAGAGACTGCTGTTAGAAATATGACAGTAGAATTAGTGACAATAATGATGTACAGTAGCAGAATAATAGTATGGATTACTGTAGTATTGATATACAACTGAGTTAATAGTGATATGTGGTCATTAAAGTTGTGTTTGATAATTTATGATGAACAAATGACGTTTGATAAATAAGTGATGTTTAATAAATTATTTTGAGATGTTTTCGAGATGATTGAGATGTTATTGTTTTGAGATGATTGAGATGTTGTTGTTTTGAGATGTTTATGAGATGTTGTTGTTCTGAGATGTTTATGAGATGTTGTTCCGAGATGATTGAGATGTTGTTGTTTGAGATGACTGAGATGTTGTTGTTTTGAGATGATTGAGATGTTGTTGTTTTGAGATGTGTTTTGAGATGTTGTTAACTGAGTGTGTTATTACATTCATGTTGAGTCGCATACATTGCATTTTTTGAGATGGAGCTTATGCTCGTTGAGATGGCCTAGATTGGCAAATTTTGAGATGAAGGCTATGCCTTGTTGATGCCTCTATTAATTGGCAGATTAGATTTTTGAGATGGGAGTTCTGCTCCAATGGTACCACATGCATTTGCATAGTTTTGAGTCGCATTATATGAATGAATAATGAAATGTATTTGATGTTGATGAATGAGCACATATGCTGTAATTGTTGTTGATTATGAGATGAGAAGTGGTGATATTATTGATCTAATTTAATATATTAATTATCATGCGCTTTATTATATTGTTAGATATCTCACCCCTTATGTTTGAATGTTGCCCCTATGTTGGTAACGTGCAGGTAATCGAGAGTGAAGGATGTATACCTTCAATAGATCGAGTCGGTGTCATTGCTCTGATATGTAACACTCGGGGGGGATGAACGCTTGCTGATTTTTGATTGCTGATTTTTAGTTGTTGGACTTTAAATTGTTTATTTACTAAATATGAGATGTTTCGAAGTTGCTGTTTATTTTAAAGATGTTATTGAAGAATTCTGCTGCGTAGTTGTTGAATTATTTTATTAAAGATGTTATGTTGATGGTTCATCCGATATTTTATTATAAGTGTTATATATCCATGATGAATGCAATGAATTTGTTTGAAGAATTTGTGACGTCTCGATTCGTTTGTATGATTGAAATTTTGTAACTCTGATTTATTTTGCATAAATTACTTGGGATAGAATTGGGGTGTTACACAACTCACCAATCTTTTCCTCGAATTGAAATATCAGCGGTTGTTTACCAAATTTCACGGTAAACACGATGCCAGTTGCTTAACATTTGTATTGCTTGGCCATGAAGTTTTCTTTGCCTCCCTTGCTCGCTAAGTGCACCTTTATTCTTAACTTAGTGATGCCAATTGCTTGGCCATGAAGTTTTCTTTGCTTCCCTTGCCCGCTAAGTGCGTCTATGTTCTTTGCTTAGCAAGCTTTTCTTGTCGAGAAAATGCTTTAGCAAAGTCTTTGTGTTGCTTTGGTGATTTCTTAATCTTTTTATCTATTTTTAATCAATGTGTAGTTAAAATATTCAAACGGGTGTTTAATCACTTTTCATTGATTAGTCTGATTTTTTTCCGTTGATTATTTATAAAATAAATTAACAAGTATTTACGTATTTTATGTATTTTTTACACTTATCAACTCTCCTCAAACAAAATCCATTCAAATGGTCTAGAAGAAGTTCAACATGCATGTTTATAAAAAGTAAGATGATTTGATTATGAACCTTTGAAAATATTTTATGACATATTTTTTTTATAATGCAAGTTCATAATCAATATTATAATTATCATCGAACCAAACCATATCATGAAAATAAAAAACGTACCAAAGTAAGATTTCAAATCATGTCTAAATCAATAGTTACTTATTCATTAGAATCACAATCTCATTGGTTATCTCTCAAAAAGGTTAGTGCTTTTCATTGTTGAACAATGCATAAATTATAGAAATAATTTGCATTTCATCTAAGTAGAACCACAAGACACATGATGAGTCATGAATTACTAAAATGTTTTGTAAAAGAAACTAAAAGGGACTTGCCATGGCAAAACAAAACTACAAAAATAGCATTTGGATTTTACATTCTAAACTAATTCTAGTTTAATTTTTCTAAACTAGCAATGTTAGCCTGACCATTGTTTTGATTTCCCATTTCTTTGCCTGTCAAAATACAAAAAAAAAATGGTTACTGATAAGCATTAGGCAACCCTCTCAATCTCTCCAAGAGAAAACAAAACTGTCAAAAGGAGAGAAAATGATCCTAAGCGATTAAATAAAAACAAAAGCCATTTAAAGGAATCAAAAAGTGCTTCTTTGAAATAAACCATTTTTTATTCCTTAACAAGGGCACTCTTTGGCATTTGCAAACAACAAATGAAACACAACTAACCAAAACGAATCCTTCTTTTCTTGTGCTAATAATTCTTCAAAACAAATGTCAGAAAATTCATCATCTCTTCTCTCACCCATCTTACAGGATTTTTCCTTCTCCATGGAAACTCCAATTTCAAGCATCTGTATAAACAAAAAGGAATGTGTAATTAGTAATAGAATAGCAAAACCAAATGTTAGTTAATATACAAAATCTCTTATGACAACAAAATAGCATACTCAATATTGTTAGGATAAAAATAGAAAACCAGTAACATTAGTTATAATTATACTCCATAAACCAAAAAATGTCATATTGATAAAATGCAGAGCATGTGGTATAGTACCTTATTGTATGCTGGTGAAAGTTTAAGCTGTTGTTGAAGCCAGTTATAAACAAAAGCATCCTCTTCTAATCGTTTTTGCTCTAATTCAAGCTTGTATATCTGAAATGTCGAAAAAACAAGCATTCAATGTAGGAGGGTATGACAAAGTTTTCCCTTGAGTGGACACATATTGCTATCAAATATTCGAACCAACCTGTTGTCGAAGTCTGTTGATAGACGATCTGTCTGCTTTACATAGTAAAGCCTTTGTTATCACAAACTTGCGTTGTGTCACATCAGCCCTGTTACAGAAAGAGGGCACAAAGTAAATCAGAACAACATGTGATACCATAAAACACGCCCAGCTTGAGAAGAGTAGTATGGAATTCAAGTACGGTTCAATGGAAAAATTTGAGTTTGCATATATCCTCCCATAAAGTGAGTCGAAATTTTGGATGAGTTTCACAAGAATTGAGTTTATATATTAATAATTGAGTTTCAACATATGATTGATTATAATCAAAAGTATGTAGCTTATCATGAATATATAAATAGAAAGGTGAAATATGCAAACACAGGCAGAAATATGCAATGTAATCATGTATAAATTTCGAAAAGCCTAAAGGACACAAGAAAACCAATCTGAAGTTGGTTCTTTTAGAACATACTTGTGTTGCAGCTCACTCCTAGCAGCAACCAAACTATTTGCAAATTGCACAACCTGCGTTTTGAAATAAAAGAGATTGATATTTTACAAGGTAGCATAGAAAATGAAACAACTATCCATCATAATTTTAAACCTAAAGCCACCCACAAAGAACATACAATTATTATAAAATATAAAAGAAACAAGATATTTGCAATAACAGACCGTGTTTGATCAATTCTAAAAAAGTTGGCATGAATATTTTTGTGCATGATTCTCACATCACATCTGCAACTGCAATAGTACTAGTACTTAGGTAAAAATAGCATACAACTTCAATTGTATTTTCTATGTTTATCCTTTGTTTCAAATAACTTTCACTATTACTCCTATGTTATTTCAAAGCTGAGATTCAATCCTTCAAGCCAGGAGCGCCTTTGAGGGTGTGCAACATGGACTATAGCACAATGCCACAAAAACTTAAATTCAATAGGGTCTCTTAATAGATTTGTCACAATTAAAAAATGGCTAAATAGACTCTCTAGTTGTTTTGTCCAGGTTGAATCGTGATTAACCTACATAGAGCCTCCAAAAACTTAAGACGGCCAAGGCTTCCGGCTGCAATTTAATAATGACTAAAACTTCATTTGGTTGAAACATGGGGTTTATTGAATTCCCACATTAAGGGTTCAAACTCCAAGTACTACTCTCTCTCATTATAATTATCCATTTTTACCATACTTGGTTGAGATGGTAGGGATCTCTTCCAACTTAACCAGAGATCAGGCAGAATTTTGCCACCTATTATGGTCCTTCCTGGCTCGAGGGTTAGTCTCTGCAATTGCACGCAAAGGATATTCTTTTATACCAAAAAATTATGTAACTTTAAAATACCAAGCCAATAGTATTAATGAACATTATCCAATAAAATAGCCTTAGTTATTTTTAATAAAATTCTCAATTCAGACTACTCAACTATCTACTATTACAATCAGTGTGTAAATGTTACAAAATTAGTCTTAAATTAAACAACAACACCAAAAGGTAGTGAATTAATTAGTACTAATTGGTTCATGTGATTAACATTGAATGCAACTGAATTTGATTCATACTGTAATAACTATTAAACGCGCAGTGAGAGAAAAACCTGTGAGAGTGTCAATTTGTTAGAGTCGTTGCATTTAACAAGCTCATCATACTGCGGTTTGATTTTCTTCTGCATAGCACTACTCGAAGAACTAAACGGGTCCAAACGAACTGATTCGGGTCGGGTATCAGAACCCGAAATTTCTCTCTCCACGCCATCATCATCTTCAGTCCCGGAACATGTTACCTTCTTCTTCTTTTTGGTTTTCCTCTTCTTTTTCTGCTTCAATTCATCCTGACCCGAACCCAATGACTGGTTCGAGTCATCATCGGAAAATGCTGCAGTCGATTGTACTGTACACGAGGGTGCCATCTCAGAAACGAGATTTGGAATCGGTTCATCTTCTTCGGGTTGAGGGATTTGAGAATCAGTTAGCGAGAGAAGAGTCGGGTCGGGTGTTTCCGGGTTGCGGGTCAAGATGGGTTTTGGGTTTTTGAGAAGTGTTTTACGGAGAGAAATTAAGGATGATATGAAAATGATGAAAAGAAGAATGAAGGAAAACAACAAAATGGGATCGTGCATTTGTAATGTTGTATGTGAGAGAGAGAAGAAATGAGAAGAGAATAATATAGAAACTTGAAATAGAGTGAGTGAGAGAGTGAGAGAGAAGAGGAGACAAAATAAAAGTGTGGTGTTGATTTTCCACTTCTCATAATAAGAAGATTAAGATAGATAATGTTTTGTGGTTTTTCTTTAATTTACTTTTGACATTTTTATTTCTTTGGTTGGAGCAGTTTCTTTTAACTGCGAAGAATAAAAATAGTTGTTGTATATGATTCAGATGCACCAACATAAAATAATGTTGGGGTAGCCATAATTGAGTGAATGATATTATTTGGAAAGAAAAAAAAGAGTTATGTATATAGACATAGCTATGATTAGTAGTTACTTGCACATTAAGTAATTGTTGTTTCTAAAATTAGAAACTAATTAAATATATTAATTAATAACTAATATTCTCTAATTACTTTAAAACTTGAGTCAAACTTAGACACCTCTTCTTCATTCAAGTTGTGAAAACTTATAACTTCAAGCTTAATTCTCAATTTCATGAATTGCATTCTTTTATTTACTTTAGTAAACACATATGATACTTAATCTACATAGCATTAAGTTTTTCCTTTGACAATTGGTCTTTATATGTTTGTGTTGTATCCTAAAATTTGCTCTCTCATTTTTCAAGATTCCTCTCGTATAGGTGGTTATAAACACTTGTTTAAAGAAATAAAGAAAAATGAATTTTTTGAAGATGACAAGTTGTTACTTTGATTGGTCGAAGGAAAAGGAAAATGAAGATGATAATGTGCTCTTCAATTGGATTGAAGAAGAGCAAGTCTGCTTCGATTCTCAATTCGATTAGACACTGGCTTCCTTCGACCTACATGTTTCGAATGATTAAAAGACTCTCTCTGAGCACTCTTCAAATCCACAAGCTTCGATGGGACCGTGTGTCTGCTTCGATTGGATGTTTGATGCTTGCATGTCTGTGTTGACTGGACAAATATCTCCCACCATGCTAGCACGCACAAGGCAAAAAGCCTTTTGTAGCCTCCTTCGAATGAAAGTTGGGGTTATGTACTTCATTTGGGCAGGAAATCTCCTTCGATGCAAGTTTAATCCATAAGCTTCGTTTGGGCATTTTGCTCCCTTCGAAGCAGTCTTCTTTAGTACATTTCTAGAACTCTTCGACGCAATCGGAAAATAGGATTTTGAAAGAACACTGATCAAATCTATAGGCCATGATACATGATCTTACTTTACAGGCCTTAATGCTTGTATTTCACTCCATAATTAATTGCTTACATTATGGATTAACTTATTGTTTAGGTGATTAAGCCTTTGTCCAAAAGATTTTTTATAAAAGTAAACTTGCTAGTACAAATCCTTTCCTCAGTCCATGCTTTGCTTAAATCCTGATTATACTTCACCGTAAGTCAGGGAAGTCAGCCCCTTTTAACCAACAACTTTAGTACTTCACCTTGGGATCTTGGAAAATATGACATAGCTTAATATTCACGTTTCAGTCAAGCCACATCTTTGTTCAAACTCCCAAACCTTTTCTCTATAAATAGAGAAACCATTAACAAAGAAAGGGGTCAGATTCTTGCTAGAGAGAAAAATCATAAAAATCCCCAAGCACTCAAACTCTCCAATATTCTCAAACTCTCCAATATTTTCAAACTCTCCAACATTCTCAAACCTTCAAAACTCTAAGACTTTTTTTTTCAAAAGAAAATCTCAGTAGGGTACCTTTCGATTCACTTCCCCTAAACTGTAGTATAACACCACCTTCGATTCACTCCCCCAAACTGCAGTATAGCAAAATCTTCAATTCCCTCATAAATACCAGCCTTTCGATTCAAGCAGAGAAGTGGTCCAAGTAGCTCAAGGAAGGTTACATCAAAGTTTGGTCCACCACCAAGGAAGTCATATACAGCTCCTTCGATTGACACTTCAAGAGGTAAGTTCCTCTAAACTTGGAACTTTCTATTTAAAACATCATTTGTACATATAAATAAAAGAGAAAGTGTAGATATCACATCTAGGGAATCGACCATGCTTTAGCTTTTGATTATCACTGCCATGTACATTCAGTCTTGGGATTTTGGTGCCAAATAAATTTTTGTTAACCCTTGGGCCTGTAGCTTTTTAAGGTTATGTTTGTTAGGCTCGTATCCAAACTTTAGGCAGGTTGTGTGTATCCTTCGATTGGATGAACAGGGGAGCCTTTCGAATCTCAACTGGGATGAGTTGCACTCATGCAATCGAAAGGGAGGACTAGGCACTTTAAATGTTCAGAAACAAGTTTACCTTTTACCCAATTGAAGCTGCCTCATGAACGGATGAAACAGACCACCCCAATGGTATCAACAGTGTGCGTGAAAAGTATTTCTGTATAGGGAGCTGAGTTCGAACCTTGGCAGGACCAAAAATAGTTTTTGCCTTTCTATTTGTGTTCTTTGTTTTTTTACAAACTTCAAACATTTTTTCAACCAATCAAAACAACTCATTTTGAGTTGATTTTTTACACACTATTTATTTACAAGTTTTATTTCACGAATATATAAAAATATTACAGAAAAAAATATTTTATTTTAATTAAACAAAACCTTTCATATAAATAAAAGTCAAAACAAAGTTCGCTTTCTTTTCATTCCAATTTTGTACATTTATTCATATTCAATATGGTTGTAATAGATAATTAGAATTTTATTTCTTGCAACCCCCATTTGTACATTTGTATCCCTATTCCCAAGTGATGTAATAGCGTAGTAAATTTACTTTTCGCAATTTTTCGCTTTCATATAAATGCTAGTAATTAGGGTGTGTATGGCAAGATTAAAACCAATGCTTAGAAAACCTTAAATTCAAGACAAAAATGCATGCAATAAACACATTTGTACACATGCACCCCTAGAGTTAACTCAACTTGTTGCCTTACAAAAAATGGTCATGTTATGCATGTGAGATGTCTTAGCAAAAACAATCAAAATGCGAGATCATAGTCCCTTGATGACGCTTCGAATATTGTCTTACAAATGATCTCAGTCCCTAAAAGAGAATGCTAAGATACCTTGCAACATTGTTAATCATGGTTATACGATGACCCACGCCCGTCCCGTTTACATCCAAAGATAGGGTTACTTACCAAATCAATGGCAAGATAACAATGTCAAAGGAAAAGAAAATGAACAAGAAAGACTTTTGAGTAGGTAGAATCATCCTAATTACTTGCTCAATTTCAAAACATCCTTGCTATTTTCAAAATAAACACCTACACTTTCAAAACCTCTTACAAACTTGAAAACGTTTTCAAAAAGATCAAACATCTTTGTATACATTCTTACGAATGAGAATCATTACAAATATTGCATAAACGATGGCCTCTTTACAAAATACTTTCAAAAAACCACACAAAGCACAATTTCAAACAAAAGTAAGTGATCTAGCAAGTAACTAAGAGTCTGTGGAAAATCATGAATGATAAGGGTGCTAATACCTTCCCTTTTCATAATCTACCCCCCGCACTCAAGAAATAATCTCAAAGGTCTTTCCTGTACTTTTTCACCTTTCCTTTTGGATAAAAGAAAATTTGGTGGTGACTTTTGCTAACCGCAACATTTGCGATCAAACGCAAAACACCTAAGTCAGTTCTCCCACCGTATCACAGTTTACTTTTTTCATGTGTAATAGAATTTTTGGCTAGATTGGTGATTGTTTTGTCGTCTATTAGTAGCTTGATTCATTGTTCCAACTTAATCATCATATTATTCAATATGATTGAAGCTAATTTGCTTGATAAGTTGCAGCAGCACCTGCAACACACTCAACTTCACAACTAAACAAGGCCATAACTTGTTGCTTCTTTGAGCCCCATGACACAAGTGCTATTAGGAACTTAAATAAGTGTCCAGTTGTGCTTCTCCTATCAATATTATCACCACATCAATCAACATCAGGGAATCCAATGAGTTCAAGCCCTTCACACCCTTTGCATAATGGAAATAGGAGACCATAACGTAGTGTGACATTAATGTATCTCATGATTCTTTTTGCAACATTGAAATGTTGTCTAAGAGGATTGCTCATAAACCTGCTCATTAATCCCACTGAGAAGCTTATATTTTGTTTGCTTTAGCCTAAGTACCTTAGTGATCCTACCAGTTACATGAACACGATAGCATTTACCTTGTATCTTTCACCTGCATCTGATTCTTCAAACTTCAAGTTTGTACCAGCTAGTGTAATTGTAGAGTTGCATTACAACATATTGAATTTTGTCAATGTTTCATTTGCATACTTTACTTGATGCACAATCATTATCATTAGATGTATACAAATTTCATGTCAAGGAAATAAGCTAGCTTCCCTAAGTCAGTCATCTCATAAACTAGCTTCATCTTAGCTTTAAACTGGTTAATCTCTTTCTCACAATTTCCTATTACTAGAAGGTCATCCACATAAAGGCAAATAATCAGTAAATTATCCCCATATTTTCCTTTAACATAAACACTATGTTTAAATTTACATTTTTTTAATGTAGTTTCCATGAAGAATTTGTCAATCGTTTTATTTCACCTTTGGTGCTTGTTTCAAGTCATACAATGTTTTGTGCAACTTATACACCTTATCTTCTTTCCCCTTAACTACAAAACCAGGAGGGTGTGCTATGAAATACTCTTCTTATAGAGGACCATTTAGAAAGACTTATTTAACACCAAGGTGAAAAGGAAGTCATCCTTATTTCATGCCAAAGCAACTAGTAAGTATGATGGTCTCATGTCTTTCCATAGGCGAGAAGATTTCATCATATTCAACTCCTTGTTTTTGTAAGAGACATTTTGCAAGCAGTCTAAATTCGTGTTTAACAAGCTTTCCCTTAGGATTTATCTTGGGTTTGAACACCCGTCTCACATCAATGGACTTCTTATCAGCATGTAACTTGGTTAATTCCCAAGTTGTGTTCTTCTCTATAGAGGTAAGACATTCAACCATAACATCATTCCAATTCTATTTCTTTA